TTGTGAGGGTTGGAAATGTAAAGGTAGATGTTTTATAGCAAGGAGGGAAGTGATTAACTTTTCAGTCTAGGAGCAGAGGTCCCTAGGACCATCAAGGGAGAAGAGAAGAGAGCAGGACCCTACCCAGAGAAGCAGTGATGCCTGAGATGGAGGCAAAGACAATGACGTGGAGCGGTGGAGCAGCTGGGGACTTTAGATCCTGGGAGGGAGAGGGGCTGTGTGCTGAAGACCGGGAGGGTGTGGGGGGCAGACTTGCAGAGTATACTCTTTGGTTGGTTGATGATGCATGGAGGGGATTGTAACCATGGCAGTGAAATGATATAGGATAGAATGAATGTAAAACTAATGTTCCCCCATGTAAACTATCACATAATTCACAATAAAACATTAAAAAAATATATAAATTCATTAAAAAAAATATAGGGCCCCTCCAGAGCCTTCTCCTGTCCGATCCACCTGTGACCAATCCAGCAGCAGAGTCCTGGTGTGACCCTGTCCATTCACGGTCCCTAATCCTTAACTGTATTTCTAGTTGCCATTGACACCCAAGGAATGACCATGGGGTTTCCTTGGGGCAATGGCTCCTGAATCTGTCCTCCGCCAGGAATCCTAAAGGCCTTGACCTGGTCTCTGCTCAGCTGCCAGCCCCAAGCCCTGAGCTGGCCAATCTCAGTGCAGAAAGGGAGGGCAGAGTGTGCTTTGGTCCTTGCTGACCTCCCCTCAGACCTGCCTAGCCTGGCTTGTAGGGCTTTGCCGCTCCTCGGCCCCAAGACTCACATTTCCTCCAACTTCTGACATCGGTGTAGGCTGGGCAGCTCCTCAATTTGATTATGAGACAGTTCCCTGGGGAGAGTGAAAGACCAGGGTTGGGGTGAGGCGTGACTATGGGAGGGCTAGGGGAAGGGTGCAGAAAGTAGCTGGCTTCTCTAGGGCCTGTGGCACCAGCTCTCCTCTCAAGCAGCTGAAGATCCCAGGGTTCTGGAGCGACATGGTTAACACACCTAACATGAGTTTTTGCTATTAGACTTCTCTGTGTTTCCCCTGCTAAACCCTACTCCTTGCTGCAGGGCCTGCATGGCAGGCTTCCAGTTGGATTATCTCATCCCTATGAAGTGCTGATGGCCCCTGGAAGGGTCTTGGGGGAAGGGGAGAAGATGGGCATGGAGATGAAGACCGAGACAGTGAATGGGGATACAGGGGTACTGAAGGACAGCACAGTGAGCACAGGCAGGCCTCACTGACCAAGCTGATCAATGCCAACCCATGTGGACACCTATAATCATCCTGTATGGAGTTGGCAGGGAAGCTCAGAGCTGGGGACCCTGAGAAATCATCTGGCCCAATCCTTCATTTAATAGATGAGGAGCCCAGAGCCCAAAGACAGGGCAGGACTGTCCTAGGACCCACAGGCTGCGTCTGGAGCCCAGTCTACTGCTCTTTCCATGTGCTGTGTGTCTGTCCACCCACCTTAGGCTGTTTATGATCTCTGGTGAAGGGTTTCAGATTCAAATCAGAGTCAAGGGAGAAACAAAAGCTCCCTTTGACTACATAAGGTCACTTAAGTACCTCCGTGGTCCCAGAAGGTATTCATTTTCTTGTATAAACAGAGTTGTTGTTGTTAAGTGCTGTCGAGTCGATTCCGACCCAAAGTGACGCTGTATAGGGTTTCCAAGGAGCAACTGGTGAATTATTGAGCACCTATGGTGTGCACTGTGGGATAATGCACTGGACTGCAAGGTTGGTTTGAACTTCAAGGTCAGCAGTTCAAATTCACCAGCCACTCCTCGAAACCCTATACAGGGTTGCCGTAAGTCGGAAGTGACTCAACTGCACTTAACAACATCAACTAATCAAGTGTTTAGTGCTTTACATAAATTATTTACAATTCTCACAAATGTATACACATTTTACAGATGAAGAAATTGAACCTTGGAGACATTAAAGAGTAAGCCGAAAGTCATACAGCCAGTAACAATTGAGCCTCAACCCCAAAGATCTTTTGACCCTGAACACGAGGGGACAGCCCTGAACCTCTCAGGTTCTCAGCCTGCTCTCTGGGCTGAGAAGGGAACAGTGGGACAGAAGCAGGAGAGGTCCTTGTGCGGCCATGGGGGTGGGGGCAGGCACAGTGCCAGGACTGGAGAATGCTTGGGGGCCACTCACAGGACTCGGAGCCTGGGCAGCTGTTGGCACATCCCTGGTGGGAGCAGCCGGATGCCTGCGCGGGTCAGGGTCCTGCAAGGAGAACAGAGACAGAGCTGGCACCAGGCCCAGGGCCCCACCATCCCCAGTCACCCCTCTCCAACTTTGGTGGGCCTGACACTGATGTGGGGGGACAGAGCTGACAAAAGAGAGACGTGGTGGGACACACAGAGCTGCAAGCAGAGAAAGAAGCAGATCCTGGCATCTGAGCTCCTTTGGGACCGGAGGAGGCTGATGGTGGGAAGAAACACAGTCCAGGAGCTCCTAACCACTATCCCACCCCAGTACTGGTCTCCAGTAACACTGGGTCGGCAGGACAGTGACTAGAAACTTCTCAGCCTTGGGGAAGAGAGATAGCCATGTGCAGGAGGTAGAAAGAGAAAACCCAGGGTTGGGCCATGGGAACCAAGCACAGAGTTTGCTCCCTGTGCCTCAGGGGAGGGTGAAGGGATGGGAAAGAAAGGAATGACCAGGGGGCTGTGGGGGCAGGTTGCAGAGCAGGCTTGGCTTAGGGACAGGGTGTCCCAGGAAAGACCCAAGGCCAAGGTCATCCTTGGAGAACTATTACTTCCCTCATGGAAAATTTTCCAGATGCCAGTGAATCTGGGGGAAAGACAATAGAGGCACAGAGCAGAGCTCCCATTGCAGTCCCAGCCATGCCATGAATGAGCTGTGTGACTTGGGGCAGGACAGTTGATTTCCCAACACTCACTCTGGGTGTTTGTCTGATTATTTCATTCACTCTCTGAAAATGTATTGAGTGCCTGTTATGACCTGTCACCCTTCCCCCACCCCTCATACCACGCAACAGGATATAATAGTAGAAAATACGAGAAAGTCTTTGTTGGAACCAAGCTTCAGAAAGGCAAAGGAGATGGTTTCATAGCCCTCCTACCATGGCTTGGGGTTAGGAACTCTGAAGTTGTGCCTGAAAAATCCTAGCATAGTAAGGAGAGGAGGACCAGCCTCCCGACTCCTGTCCCATCTGCTACCCCCTGGACTGTAGGCAATGCCACATAAAGAGTTGGCTCTGGTCCCTACGGGTAGTCAGGTGACCTCTGGGTTAGGCCAGAGCTAGCTACAGGGGCAGTCCAGACAAGAGGAAGCAAAGAAACTGGGCAGCGTTGAGGGGTGGTAGCAGTGGCGGGACACAGCTGGGGTGATAGCTAAGGTGGAGGGAGAGAGTTTTCACTCACAGGATCTCCAGGCTTGTGGTGCCTTTGAGATCTGGGAACTCCTGGACGTCCATGGCACCATTCAGGGATCTGTAAAGAGATGGCAATAGGCTCTGAGGGGGTACGGTTAGAGTGTCTCTATACCTAGGCTCTCAGCCCTCAGTGTTCTCCCTCCCATGGACTTCACCTTTAAGGGAAATGTCATCCTTCTCTCTTTAACTGTCCCCCCTCAACCTGCCCTATGCCACTTAGGTCCTGGAGGGGATTGGGTTTTGCTTAGCAGGGTCCAATCAGTCATTTTCTGAAGCTGACTCAGCCTGCCCTAGCCCAGACAGAGCCTGAGTGACGTCAACATTAGACCTTAGCATGTAAAAAGCACCTGCAAGGAATATGGGAATTGTTTCTGTTGAAAAAGGCAACAATTCATGTGCTTCTAGGTAAGTCCTTGACTACCATGGGTTTGTTTATTAGAGCCTGGGACAGCATCTCCCCTAAATTGTCAGTCTACTAGGGCTTTATCAGAACCTTTCCATTGGTTCTTTGAAATTGCCTTGAAGTGATGACTTTCCTCTCCCCACTCCCTAACCTCCCAATCTCATGGACTCAACACTAGACCTTCAAACAACAGGGGTACAACAAAATGGGTATTGGTAAGAAACAGCTTGGGGGCACAAAATGAGTCCAGAATCTAAAGTAAAAGGTGCTGGGTTCATGCCTTAGTAGGACCTGAGAGTCTCAGGTATGATCTGTAAAATGATCTAATAACACCCAACTCACAGGCTTAGAATGCAGACGAAATGCAGTAACAGATGTTAGAGGGAATTAAGTGTCTTAAAGATGTTAGTTGTGTTACTTGATGCCACAGGCTGCTGAGAGTTATCCCTGGAAGTTTTTTTTTTTTAAGGAAGTAGGACATGAGCTGGAAGTTAAGAGTGTAGGGGTAAAAGATGACCCAGAAGGGGCCCAAAGTCACTGTGTTCCAAAGTCACTGGAAGACCAGCCTTGAGAACACACAGCATTCAGAACCTTATCCCAGTCATTTTTTCTTTTAAAAGGTGTTCATGCAACAGCAACCATCAATAGGACTCAAGAGGCCAAATAAAATTCCTTGACTAAGGAAGAGGGGTTGCCTTCACCCATTAGAGATCTGGGAAGCAGTCACCACTCAGGGAGGTGGAGGAAGGTCATTAAGTCCAGGCAGATCTGGGAACAGGCAGGCCTGAGCTAAGCAGAGCCTACATCCCTGAAGGTCTCTCAGTAGGGGTTTTGCCCTGCAGAAGAGAGTCTGCAGGTAGGAGGCAGCAGGGAGTGAAGAGAGGGAGCGATCCAGGCTGTGGTAGCCCTCAGTGCCAACTTACAGTGTGTGCAGCTTAGGCAGGTACTGGAACGCTGACCTTCCCACAAATTGGATTGGGTTGTCATAAAAGTGGCTGGAAGAAAAAGACCCATAGCTTCATTTCATGCCCCAGTCCTTCTACCCTGGGTCAGGCAGCCCTCTGCTTTCTCCAGATGATGGCACCAAGGAAGGTACACCTCCCACACTCCTGCCTCTGCCCCTCCTGCTCACTGCCAAGAGGCCACAGTAAGTACTCACATCGTCTGCAGCAGAGGGTTTCCCATGAAGGCCTTTTCTGGGATAGCCTTTATGTTGTTGTTATGGAAACCCCTGGAAGATGATACCCAGGAATCAGTAAGGACATGGAGAAAAATGTTGAGAGGGAGAGAGATGGAATTTTTAGATGTATGGAACACAAACATATACATTTCAGACTATATATATATATATATACATACACACACACACACACACACACATATCTTCTTTCTCATGCTAACTCAGTTCTCTGCTCTCTTTCCCCTAATATTTTACCGTTCCCTGCCCCATGACTTTGCACACCCAGGCCCTGTTAATTTCTCAAATCTCATCCTTCTGTCATGTCTAAGCTCAAAGGAAAAATCAGACTTTGGTGACTCATTGGCAATGGAGGACTCCCAGTAGTTCCTCATCAGACCCTTCCCTCCTTGTCTGATCCATACATCTTACATTCACACCTTCAAACTTTGGGTCAAGGCGGAGGAGGTGGCATGGACTGATACTACAGGTCATAGGCAGTAGTTTGGTGAATAAAGAGGCTGTGAGGTTGAACGTTTGGGGCTTGGGTTTACAAACCCTCAGGCCCTCTTTATCTGGTCCCACTCTAGTTATACAGTAGGTCTCCTTCCATTCTCCAAAAACCTCCTCTCCAGTAAGGCTGGTCTTCCTCCTGTTGTCATCCCTCTGACCCCACAACTCCCTTATCTCTCTCCCTACACAGTTCCTTCTGTCTGAAATGTGCCCCTCCATCCTACCACTGTCGTCTGAATACCATCATCCTGTAAAGCTAATCTCAGGAGACATTAGTCCACAATGATTTTTCTATGTTGCTCTGAACTCCCATGATCATTTTAGCTAATACTACATAATTTAGGATCAGGAATTATATATTGCTTCATCCTGTTCTCTGTTTTCTGTATGTTACTTTGTCTCCACAATAAGCCTGAAGGATCCTTGGGGACAGACCCATGTTGATCTTACTCTTCATTTGTCTTTAGCACTAAGCAATGCTGGTTACAGTGTGTGCTCTGCTTGGTGAATGCTTAAAATAATATAATAAGTGGACGTTGTGGACTGCCCAGGTGATGCAAATGGTTAACATGCTTGGCTACCAACCAAAAGGTCCACCCAGAGGTACCATGAAAGAAAGGCCTGGTAATCTACTTCCTTAAAATCAGTCATTGAAAACTCTATGGAGCACAGTTCTACATGCACACATGGAGTCTCCATGAGTCAGAACTGACTTGACAACAACTTGTTTACTGATAGAGAATCAGAGCCAACTTCTGACTTCCCTAACTAGACAAGGTGCTAAGGAGTCACCCTATAAAGCAGCCCCTGCTCCTCTCCTTGTTCTTCTCTGGGCATATCCCAGCCAGCGCAGGGGGCAGTGCCAGGCCCAGACTAATAGGAGGTAGCTTCTGTCTTGCATCTTTAGGGCAGTGCCTTCCCAGGCTGGGGTGGCCTGGGGCCATCTCTGTTGATGACACACCCCTTGGAAATGCTCAATGCCAGGTTAATGAGGCCTGTGACTACTTAGACCTGCACTGGGGGTGGGAAAGGGCCTGCAGCTCTAGCTTTTACAAGGACCTCGAGAAGTAGGGGTGTGAAGGAGACCCTGGGCCAGTTTCAGTCCATATCCCTTGGGAGAAGAGGTTACCCACATAAACCAACAGAGAAGCTTACAGTTCCTGTAGTCTGCCCAGGGTCCGGATGGCTACAGGGAATTCCTGTAGCTCATTATAATTCAGGTCTCTGGAATGGAAAGCAGAACAGTCATTAGAGGGGAGGCTTAGAGGGCATGTCAGGGTCCCCGAGAAACGGAAACTTGGCTCTGGGATTGGCTAGAGAGATGGGTTTTCCAATCCATTGGATCCAGCTGCCAATGTCTGGAAGCACATTTTTAAAATGTTTGTACTCCATTCCACAGATCCTCAGGCTTGGAGTTTTCCAGATAGCAGAGTTGTCTTGAGAGGACTCTCAAGGGTATGTGTGCCTGGAACTGATTCTTCAGAAAAGTCCCATGAACTGAGAGAAATATCTCAAGTCTTTAGTTGGGAAGGGCACAATGGGAGGGTGAGAGGGTCTTGTCCCCAGCATTAGCAATTCCAGAAGGTTTCCCAGGTCTTTACTTTGGCTATCTATCTATCTGCAGCCATACTGTTGTTGTTACTGTTGAGTGCCATTGAGTTGGTTCTGATTCATAGCAACCCTGTATAGGGTTTCCAAGGAGTGGCTGCTGAGCTTGAACCACCAACCTTGTGGTTCAAACCGACTTTGCAGTCCAGCACATTAACCCACAGTGCCATATCAGGACTCCTGTAGTCTTCTAAAAAAAGGGACAGACATTGTTTCTCATCCTTTTAAACTTGGCATGCCAACTGATCTTCACTTTTTTTTTTTTTTTAACCCTTTTCTATATTTTCCAATTCTCTTACAATGAACATATATCTTAAAAAGAATCAAAAAACAATGAAGGTATTTTTACAAAGTGGTAGCAATCCAAATTGGCAAGGACATGAGGAAACAAGCATTATAATAAACTATTAGTGGGAGTTTAAATATGTACAACCTTCTAGAAGTATTTTGGCAATCTCTTTTCAAATTAAAAGATTCCTATCCAGCCACTCCAAATCCAGGAATTTATCCTACAAAAAAATCTACATTCATGTGTAGAGATATTTGTGCACACACGTTCATCACAGTATTTGAGCAACAGGGGCAGAAGGTTGACCCGGAAGTGATCATGGTCTCCCTTCTTTGATCTTCGTAGGAGCTTCCCTGTGTTCCTGTCCTTGGTGGAGAAGATCAGGGTAAACATGGGAGAAACGGAAGAGGACAGAGGGTGATTGTGATTTTCATAAGAGAAGATTTAGAACTGCGTGTGGGAGAATACAAAATACCCCCAAAGTATGGAGTGCCACTGAAAGAGGGGGTACCTGAGATTTGGAGCAAATGGTAAAACATGATTAGAAGGTACAGAAGAAAGTGTTGCTCTGTATTATGGGATTTCCTCTCTGCCACCTTCATAAGAGACTTCAGAAGAGATATTAGCTTTTAAAATTCTGAATGGTGACTTGGTGTTGTAGGCTGTGGTAGATAAGTTAGCCCCATGGGAAATGCTCCTGATGGGATAGGGAGGGGTCTCAGTGTCTCCAGAATGTATTTGCTGGGATACACAGTCCCAGGCTTTGTCAATGGGGAGGGGGTAGGACTCAGATGGTCTCTTGAGCCTCCCAGATGACCCCTGCCATCTTCTCAGCCTCTTAAAGCCACACCCACCCAGACAATTTTCAGAAAGGATGCCGTCCAAGGCCATGGCAGGGGGACCACGTGGAGTCCCATTAATTGCAGAGTAACTTGGCAGGTTTTGTGGGTAAATACCATATTAACACAGAGATAATGACAGGCCCCTCTACATGACAGGTTCATTACACTTAATAGTCCACAGGTAGAGCCAGGAACCCAGCCCAAGAGCCATCAGAGAAGTGGCAAGCGTCTGGCAGCCAGTGAGTTGGATAATTGTCCTTCCTCCTCCCAGCCCCCTGCACTAATTACCTGATTGCCCTCTGACTCCCAGGGTGATCTTGGGCAATTACAGCATAAACCCCCCTCTACTCTGCTGTGTTTATTCTTCAGTGAGTCAGACACCTTTGCACCCAGTGCATCAGACCTGGATTCGCTCACGAAGATGTTCCCCCAGGCTGCGCGAGGGGAAGGATGTGGTCGAGCTGAGGGCAGGATGTGTACAGAGCACTTTCACTGAAACCTAAGGCATGGGAGTTGGAAGCAGGTTCAACCTGTGAGGTTCCTGGAGTTCTACCATGGACTAGAGAAGATGCTAGAAAATCAGGTTGGGACAGCTGAGGATGGAGGCAGTGGGATGAACTAGATAAGACTCTTTTTTGGCTTAAATTGCATGAATGATTTCACCCTCACATCACAATGTCTCAAAATTAGGTGTCCCCTTTTATCTCAGCTCAGTTTATCCAGTAATGCTCCATTGTCATTCAAGAAGAACTAGGTTTTCCATAAGTAACATGGGAGTACCTTCACTACAAAGTCTTAATAGTGCGTTATCTCACATGTAAAGAATTGAATTAATCTGATGCAGAATACATCTGATATCAGAATCTTTGCTGAAGATTCCATTTACCTAGAATGCTCCTCTTCAGATATCTGCATGGCTTTTTTTCTCTACTTCACTCATGTCTCTGTTCTGACCACTTTATTGAAAATGACCCACTCTGTCATTCACTATATCCTTACTCTCTGTGGTAGCTTAAAATAGGCCACAAATCCTTTGCCGCTTTTCTTATTAAGAGGTGGTATCTACCTCTTCGGGGAGCATGGTGACTCTGTAGGATAAGTACTGGACTGCTAACCACAAGGTTGACAGTTTTAGCTCACTGCAGGAGAAAGATGAGGCTTTCTGCTCCCATAAAGATTTACAGAAACCCTCTACCAGCTCACTTTGAGTTGGAACTGATGCTGTGGTAGCACTTAACAACAACATCTACCTCTTCACCCTTTGGGACTGGATTGGCTCTGTGACTGGCTTTGACCAATAGAATGAGTCAGCAGTTACATGTTGAAACCCAGGACCTAGGTCATAAGAGGCTTTGCAGGCTCACACCATCACATAAAGAAGCCCAGGTTATATTACTGGATGAGAAGAACCTTGCAGACAGGCAGTACCAGCAGCCAAGCATCAGCACCAAGGCCCCTTGGACTCTCTAGCCCCAGTTAAGTCTCCAGATGACTGCAACCTCATGAATGAGCCGGGGGGGAGCTCAGCAGAAGAAACACCCAGCTGAGCCACAAAATCACGGGATAAAATAAATTGTTCTTTTAAGTCACTAAATTTGGGGATGACTTGTTGTGTAGTAACAGATAACTGAGATAGCCTCAGTTTCCTTCCCTTCATAAAACTTATTACTACATCACCTATACTTGTTTTTTAGCTACCCATTCAACTAAAAGGAACATTCCTTGAAACTAGAAACGTGATCTGTTTTGTATTCTAAACACTAGAACAGTACCTGGCACAGAGCAAGCAAATACTTTTTGAATGAATAAATGAAAAGGTGTAGATAAACTAATTAATGAAAGACATAGTGGACTCTTAGTGGACTTTACAGTTTTAGAGAAACATCCCTAAGATTTTGAGGCTGGTGTCAAAAAAACATCAAGTTGTCCCTTAGTGACACTGTAAGGGTTCTCCAGGACCACAGGGATTCTGAGATGGACCTCAAGTGATTTTGCTATCATTGATCCCTTATACAGTTCATTGGACCCATGTCAAGGCAGCTAAATAAAGTGGTTTCTGCTCTCTTTGGAAGTGTCTGGTAAGAAGTAGTTTAACAGACAGTGGGAAAACACATGGCAAAAGGCATGAGAACTAGCAGGCTACTTTGTAGAGAAATGTGGGAGAATAACAATTGTACAAACATCAAAAAGAATTCTGCAAATTATATAATGAGGTGACCTGATATTCCCATTTGAATGTGTCTATGGATTCAATGGCTTGAGTAATTGCCAAAGCTCTTCTTCATTTAGTGCTCTGTAGATGTAATCTCTGGCTCTGACTGTCCAAGGAATGTGTCTTTGCAATCTCGCTGCCCCAATTAATTCAATTTAGTGACACGAACCTTTGGTGTCCACCCAACATATACAAAGAACTCTGCTGGGTAAAGTGGAAGTCAGAGATGGTAGATCAGGGGCACTGCATGGAGATATGACATTTGAACCAGATCTTGATGGCAGGATAGGAGTTCGATAAGTAGAAAAGGAAGGGATAGGTGGGTTAAGCAGAGAGAGCATGGTTTGGAGAAAGTATGTGCTTGGAACAGAGCAAGTAGTATAGTTTGATTGGAGCAAAGGGCAATAGTTGAAGGCAAAGCTGGAGGGGTCCCTTCCCTGGACTGCTGCACACCTTCCTAGCTGGTCTCCCTGCCTCCAGGTCAGCCATGTGATAACACTGGCTGAGCACTGATATGTGTCAGGCATTAAATGCTTGCCTGAATGATCTCATCTAATGCTCACAACAGCCTTAAAAGGTAGATCCTCATTTCACATTTATACCCAGTTTGCAGATACCCATTATACAATTACCTATCATACCCATTTTACAGTTGCAGACAGATTAAGTAAGTTGTCCAACACATACGATTAAATGGCTGTGGAAGAGACCACTATCTTTCCACTAAATTTACCTTTTCTATTGTCTACATCTGCACTGTCCCATATGGTGTGGCGCTGTAGAGTAAGCACTAAACTGCTAACTGCAAGGTTGGTGGTTCAAACCCATAGCTGCTCCATGGAAACCCTATACAGGGCCATTATGAATTGGAACCAACTCAACAGCGCTTAACAACAATAGGCACATGTAGTTATTTCAATTAAATACAAGTAAGGAATATTTCAAATTCAACTCTCAGTTTCAGTAGCTTTGCCCAACAACAGCAACATGGTGGCTAGTGGCTACCATATTGGAAACACGAATTTATAATATTTCTATCTGGTAGTGTAGTGGTTACAAATCGGGCTGCGAGCAGCAAGGTCAGAAGTTCGAAACTACCAGCAATTCCGCGGGAGAAAGAAGAGGCAGTCTGTTCCCGTAATGATTTACAGCCTCGGAAACCCTGTGTAGGGTCGCTATGAGTCGGAACCGACTCCAAGGCACAAAACAACAAGAACATCATTACAGAAGTTCTATCAGACAGCATTAGCCCATAGTAATAGGAGCGTAGCTG